AAACATGTTCAATTTCCTCAGAAAAGAAGGCAAGGAAGTAGGCAAGTAGGTAGTTTATTAAAAATCACAAATGACTTTATATCTTTATTAAAGACAGGAAATACTGAGATTTTTCCTTATCTGTCCACAGATTGGAGTGATCATTTAATTTCACTATTTAGGTGAGAATGAAAAGGGTTCCTGATTTGTCTTTTTTGAGGGGGAACCAGGAAGGGAGGAGAGCAGAGCTGAGGACCAAACTGAGGACTTTGTTCTTGCCAGGCAAGTGCTCTTCCACTGAGCTAAACTCTAACCCCTCAGATTTTTCCTAAAAACAAAATTTCATCACTAAAAGTATTGCTCACTAAAAAAAGAAATGTGTTGTCCATGAGAAAACTATGTTATTTATCATATTAATAAGCCAAAGTTACAGTTTGTTATCTTTCCATTAATATCATTTCAGCAAAAACTTCTCCTAAGTCCTTTCAAAAATGAATAGTTTCATAAAAACCAATCAAACAAGTCCTAAACCTCAGTAAGTTGTGTATGTCAAACCTCATTATGGATACTTACATCATAGTACTTTTGAATGAACTGTCTAATGTCCATGATCAATTTGTTGCTTAGCTGTACCATAAATGACAGAGGTGAAGCATTACAATCAATATTACTGCAACGATACAAGCTGGGCTCCATATCTGTTCCCTACAGAAGTCAGGACAAACAAGTACAAAAAAGATTATTGCCAGATTAAAAACGTTTCTTATGCATACAATCTTACATGTTTTCTTGGTACATACTTTTTTAGCTTATTTTATTGGTGAATTTCAACTCTATTTTCTTAACCACTTTCCTGCCAAAGCCTACTTTGTTCCCAAGTATCGTCTATTCTTTTGACATCATCATAATGAAGTACAAAGTCAAAGAAAAACCCCTAAAACCACTATTTTGCATTAAATACTTGATAGAATCCATGGATTAAATAATTTTCCATCTGAAATACCAGTGTAACCATCAATTATAAACATCCTTCTTAGAGATCCTGATCAAAAATTTAAATTTATACTCATTCATTCAAAACATAAAAATAAAGAGCCATTATGTGACATTAGTTTGCTGTCGTTTCAATGGAATTTTAACATCAAAGGCTGAAAACTAAGTGTTGCACCACAAAAGCAGTATCTTTTTTTTTGTCAATTTAGCAAATCTAGGAATATCTACATATTTCCAAAAAATGAAATGTGTCAGGAAAGGGAGGCAAGAAGAATAACAGTCTGAAAGAATAACTATTAGTTGAGAAAAGGTTTTGTTGTGTTGTGTTTTGTTTTAAACAAAGACAAAGCAAACATAATATATATAGGAAAACTGTTGGGGTTTCTGGAGCATTTGTTTTCCTTCTGAATACTTAAACATCTTGGTTTCCTGCTCCAATCTGGTACATAACCCTACCCGCCACGCTAAGCAATTCCAGGTGGAAGAGATTTTAGAGCTTGACATCGGCTCTTCCACAGTTAGCCCATCTGCAAGTCGTCAAGCCTCCATGCAATTAACTATCTTATTTACAGCTGTAATGAAGCAAAACTCAAGGATTTAGCAAGTATTGCTGATCTGTGTCTGCCTCTTCCTTGCACTTGCTTCCAAAGACTGCTTTGTTTTGATTCAAAAAAATGCAAAACATCTGCTGTTTGTCCAAATTAACTTAAAATAATTACTTTTAATTTAGATAAAGGATGTTCTTTTCTTTCAGTTTCAAGGTTTTACACAGTTCTGCTACATACTTATTTGCCAATGGCTAGTACATGAACAAGACTGCACTGAAATCAAATAGGTTGGCCAAGATTCAAGTTCTGATCCAAGGTCAATGATACATTCTTGGGAGGAATGTTTTCCTTGTGACTTTTAAAATGTCTGATATGCATAGACAGCAGAAAAGATAAGAAGCTACCTTTGTCAAAAAAGGAGGTAAGGGGGAGGGGGAGATGTGTAATGATAAACAGAAACTTTCCCAAAACATTTAGTTCCTCTTAACTTGGTTTAGGATAATAAATAGGGATCAAGAGTGGGGAAATACAAGTCACTAATTAAGAAATTAAAACTATTTTAAGATAATTAAAACTTTTTAAGAAATTCCATTTTAAAACCAAGGTCAAACACTCTAGGAAGGAAAAAACAATAATTTAAGCCCATTTTTTTTAAAGCAGAGATAAAGTTAAGTTGTGAATACAGAATTCATGTAGCTAAATTTCTTTAAGGACACAATGGGTAAGTGCATTATAGGATGCATGGGGAGGAGTCATACTAGTTTGCCCACAAAATGAAAGAAGGAAACAAAAAGAACTAACCGAACCATCAAAGAGAGTATCATAAATATTTTCAGTTCCACACATAGGACATGGACACTTGAATTTTTCACAGTCCTTGTATTTCTCTTCATCAGTGAGCTGTGCTGGACCACCAAGTAGAGCATCATTCTCTTCATCTTTATGATAATGATAAACTTTAAATTGAGTGGTATTAAGTCCTATTAACATAAGAGAAAACACAAAATCCCAAAGTATTTAATCTTAAAAAAATACCTTGAAGAAAAACTATAACAAAATCAGTTTAAATCACAGGTCCAAGTAATTTCAAGACATTATTTTGTAAATAAATCGAACAAGTAACTGCAACACAATACAGAAATATGTTACCAGAATTCAGTTCACAAGCAACTGCTTTTACAGAATTTTTTAAAAATTGTCTTCTTAAAGTTACAGTAAAAGAAAACCCTCAAATGTGCACTATAATTAACATGTGCTCTTAAAATCATAATGTCACCATCAAAACTAAAATAGGAATAAAAATTCCACTAAAGAAAACAGGTTCGCTGCCATTATAACTTCCTCAACTACAGACACAACTGCTAGCCTTGATTTTCAATGCAGTGGTCGATTTCATCTTGGCTCAGTAGTTAACAGCATGTAGGTTGCACTATAATTCACTAGGTATAATTCAGTAACAGCACCTGAGGCAAAAATGCAACATTTTTCTGGTGTTTGGATTTCATAAATTCTAAAATACATACAAAACCAATAGATCTATCATATTTATAGATTAAAACACCCCGACAACCCTGAAACATAATATACCTTTCATATTTCAATTGAGAGCACTATAAATCAATCAATGAATAGTTTATGCTGTCTTGTTTACAGAAAGTATTTTAAGAAGAAAAAAACATTTTTAGGCCATCTGCTTTGTTCAAAGCAGACGTGTCAAAATTTAATATTTTTTATAAAAAAGATACTCATATGCCGTAGCATTTTCTTGAAATACTAGCAATTCCTACAGCTCTAGGTTTTTGTAAATCTAAGGAAAGCTATTTTACTTATTTTGGGATAAATGTATGTAAGTGATATAAAACAGTAACCAAGCAAAAAGCTCACAAATAACAAAAATATGTCAAAATTGTCATAAATCTATCAACAACTGTGTGGGTAGTCTTAACAGAGGTATTCAAAATTTAGTGATAAAATCCCAAATTTGTTTTTGGTCAGTTGCCAAGTGACATCTAGGAATTATAAAATACTTCAGGCAAACTCTCACAAAGTGGAAAGGTGATAAAGAATAGAGAGTATGATGACTAAGGTGTGAAGTCTCAGTTTTCTATATGCAAAATGGAGGCGGCATTGCTGACCATACAAATTTGAAGTTCAAATGAAATAAGAAAGGGCAAACCTACTTCAGTGATACCTATCACGTGGTAAGCAGCAAATAAATGACACTTTAATAAAAAAGAAAAACAAAGTAGTAAATCAACATCACATAATGCAGACTATATATATTCACATGAAACAGGTGTTCATGCTACACATGAACTTAATAGCTACTTTCTGTAGGAATTAAAGCATTTCCTAAAGTGACAATATATAATAAAAACAAAGAATACCCACTTAGGGACAATTTAAAGATCTGCTCTTCATCAGTAAAATAAATTACTGTAACATATGACACTCGTCCCTAAGACTCATTGTAAATTTTTATAAGTTACCCATCTGCTATGATGGGTAACTTATAAAACAATAAGTAAGCTATGTGATAATACATATGTTCACATTTCAAGATAAGGACAGGTAGAGGAACTCAGTGGACATGGGATACCATGCCCATGAGCGAGGCTATTCTCCATAGTACAAGGTAACTGCTACTAATTTATTAAAACTGGTTGTTCATCCATTCTCCTATTGCCTTGGTTTATTTTCAATTATGAGGAAGCAGATTTCACCTTTACTGACTATACAATGTATGTGTGTATGGTAGGGGGAGGCCTAAAAGGCAAGCTTTTTTAAAAAAGGCAAATTTCTTTTATAGTCCAAAAACCAAGGAAGAAAACAATGCTGGCCAGATACAAAATTGTCCAGGCTGTAATCAAGAACCACTTCGAGCTGTTCTCTTTCCCTCCTCATCAGCCAACACTCACTTGGCAGACCTGAGTACATGAACTTGCACAGTGGCCCATGGTGGCATACTGACCACATGAGTTCAAAGTGCTACTTATGAAGGAAATGGCTGGAGGTTGTGAAAAATATCAGGCCTTACAAAGTGTCTCCTCTTTAAATATCCATTACCATGGCAATAATAAAGCCAATGGGCCTAGTTAATTACGTCAGATTTCTTCTCAATCTGAATTTCCTCAGTCTCTTGCGCACGATCAGTGTGTTAAATTTAAAAAACATATAGTGGGAAAAGAAATGGCAATTATCTTAAAGTACTAGGTATGTAACGTTCCTTTAATACAAAAATGTCATTAGAAACTGATTTTCTTGGAAGGACAATTATAAATTCAACAGGTAAATCAAAAGACTAAATTGTTTTAAGAAAACATGTTTTGTTTAAAAAAAAAAAGATCACTGCTGCTAAAATGCTTTTGTATAAAGTGAAAATTCAAGTTAAAACAAGTCCCAAACTTATCCATCATACAAATCAATTTATCCATATTCACATGAAATTATTTTAAAGTCTATTATGAAATTTAAGAAGACTTAAAAGTTTTACTGCTTATACAGGGAACTCATTAAAACTGGAATGAAACCGAAAAAAAAGTATCTAGTGCTGCCACCTAGAGGCAGAGATTTTGAATTTTCAAGACTACAAAATAAGACCTGCTACATAAAACTTCCTTTGTAATTATTGTCTCTCCAAAATTAAACATTTCTGTCAGAAATGACGTAGAAGTAAAACCTTTATCATTGCACTGTCCTACATGAATATACATTCTATAATTAATATTAAACTGTTTGTCATACACTGTGTAACCAGATTCATCTTTGAAATAGAGACCTGAAACTGAATTCCAAATGTCTCACCTCTTCTACTGAGAGCTTTCTCTGAACTGGCTGAAAGGAACAAACTTTATAACCCATTTGAAAAAAGAAACTTCTACTAGACTAGTTTTTAATAAAGGTGATTTGAATCATTTGGTCAGGCACAGAAGAAAGGAAGGAATAACCAGATTGGCTTTGGAAAATACGTTTCATAGAGGAAGATCAAGCTCTGGTTTCCCTCACAATAAGAGCAGAGCAGATGTATGCTTTAATTCAATTCTGACTTGAAGTTATCAAGTCACTTGTGCTGGGATAGGAGAGACAGAAGAGGTAGTGAAATGAAATTAAAATGCTGTCATTTATAATTAGAAAATTTTTAGGATCTCACATTATTTTGGCAACAGGATCAAAGCTCTCATATTTCAAGGATATATTTATAGAAAGTAACATCACAGGCATTGGGGTAGATCAGTTTAGCAAGACTGTTTTTAAGATCACCATACTCTTACCAACCCCCACACCAAAGTGACATTTAGCACAAAATTATTTTCTCTACCACTGTAGTTTCTAACCATTAAAAATTATACCTGTTTTATTTTATTTTGTTTTTGCCAGTCCTGGAGCTTGAACCCAGGGCCTAGGCACTGTCCCTGAGCTTCTTTTGTTCAAGGCTAGCATTCAACCAATTGAGCCACAGCACCGCTTCCGGCCTTTTCCATTTATGTGGTACTGAGGAATCAAACCCAGGGCTTCAGGCATGCTAGGCAAGTACTCTACTACTAAGCCACATTCCCAGTCCTATACCTGTTTTAAAATGCTCACCCATTCCTATTTACATTGGCAGGGTTTAAACTGTTCCAAACTCAAGGTTTTTAGTTATTTGAGAGACTGGTACATTTGATCCTTCTTCCAAAAATCCCAAGGTCTCTCTACTAATATAGTTGCAAACTAGTAAACGTAGCTCTCTCGTTCTCTCTCTCTCTCTCTCTCTCTCTATATATATATATATACACACACACACACACATATATATATATATATATTCATTCATGCAAATAGGAAAAGAAGAAAAAATATAAATCAAATCCTAAATGAGTAAAGGGAATAATTCTTAAAGCAGTTGTTAGGTTAATCCGTTGAACTTCTAGTGAAGCCAATTAATGGAACCATATGAAACTCTCTACAAATGTCTATTAAGAAGTAAATAATTTCTCTTTTGCATAAATCTAGGCTCACGTATGTGACCTTCTGGGGACAATGCACAAAACGGAAATTCAGTGTGACTAAAAAAAGTTAGTGAATTTTAAAGTTAATGCTATATCGATCAAAAGCCTTATACATGAGGACTTAGCTTTTTCTGCATAAAAACTAGATACTAATTAACAGCAGAATGAATGAAATGATATGATCTACCCACAATACTATTTCCCAATGTAGTACAAAGAACAAATACTGACACAAGCAACATTAACATAGTTGATGGATCTCAAAGCCTAGTGAAACAAGTAACATGATAGACAATCACAAAAATATTGTGCTGAGGGAAAGAAGTTAAACACAAAAAGTATACACTTGTAGGGATCTATTTATATAAAATTCTAGAAAAGGAAAAACTAATTTACAGTGACAGAAAACAGATGAATTTGCTTTTACAGGGGGATGTTGAACCAGCAGGAACATGAGAATGTTTTAGGGTGATGTTCAGTGTCTGTGTCCTGATAAAGTGATCATGACACTCTAAGGTTTCAGCATTTCATGATAAATTATACAGGTCATGTAGAAAAGCATGTCAACTAGGTGATCTTTGCAATATACATTTCCAAAGGATCCATATTTAAAATATGTAAGGAATTCTTGTAAATCATTAAAACAGAAAAGTAGAAGACCTAAACAGGCATCTCATAAAATGAAGCATGGGAAATCAAGCTTTACTTCATTAGCCAAAGAAATGCAAATTAAATACCACAAGGCTGTGTCACTACATAAATTGAAGATGGGTTGGTAAGAATGTGGAACACTATACACTGCTTAAAGGTGTATAGCTTAGTGGCTTCACATTGGAATATTGGTGGCATCTACTAAAGCTCAATGGACATGTTCCCTATAGTCTAGGGACATGTTCTTCTCCCAACAGAAATATATGTATGCCTAGGTTCAATAGAAGACACATGAAAAATCTTCTAAAGAAAGATCTGCTATGACTAAAGGTCAAGCATGG